TCCAGTTGTACTTATATGAAGCTTCAGCCAAAATCAGATCACTTAAATCTAGCTCTTTATAAAACAAAGTTGGGAGTTGGCACAAAATAAATAGACATAATCAAGATCTGGAAATTCTGTTCCATTCAATTTTAAATATTAAGTACATTTCATGAAATTACATGGAAAAATATGGACCCTTCAACAAAAGAGGTAGCGCTTTCATTAGCATTTTATTCTGTAACGACACAGCAGTTACAGTACCAAACAGGGGAACTCTGGTGTGCGCATGTCGCTTCTTTGTTAGAAAAAAGTCTGTCCGTAACAGTGAACCTCTTCCAGACTTTTCGGTCCTCAAATTTATAATGAAAATTATGTCTTCCTCTGGGTAAAATGTTTTGGTTCCTATTTCTGCCACAAGAGTGAAGCATAAACGAGGAAATCAATTTGCATATGCAACAAACGAACATCAAGACCACAGAGGAATAAACATTCACAAAGGCTACAGTTGAACACACGCATATTCCGTTGGAGAATGCAGGCCTACTTCAACCGATGCTGCATTTCGGATCTTGTGACTGTCACGAACCTGTTTCACGTTTCTATGGTAGGAAGTACGCAGTGGACTGTGTCCAGGGCTCTCCTCTTTGCCTCTTGACGCGGTAAGAAACGTGCAGTAGACTCGATATGGGTAACTGGCCAGCAAACATTTTGGCTGTGACACCATGTGCCCTGGTAGCAAATCCCTGATCATGGAGGCAGCAGCAGTTAATTCTTCTTCTTCTTCTTCTTCTTCTCCTCCTCCTCCTCCTCCTCCTCCTTCCATCTTAAGAGCGGGTGCTACTAGACCATTCATAATTTCGGGAGTTTTAAAACCGGTCTTTCTACATGTTGCTGTGACTTATACGAATTCCAAGTTCAGACGGCCAATAAAATGTTTGTCCCTTGCTTTCATGTTATCTTGCTCGGCTTATTCTTTGATCCTGAAGATGGAGGCAATATGTCAATCCGAAACATCGGTTGACTTTAAACGGACTACAATGCCTTACATCCCAAAAGACAGTACCCTTCATAACCACCCCTGTGAGACTTTCAAATAGATTCCAAAACCTTCTCCGAGGAGAGGGGTGGAGAGACGATTCAAGAGATGTATATGAAACTACATGGGGTTGAGGCTTGTCTGTGGGGGCAACAAGCGAATGTGGGAGGAGGGGAAGGTGGACACCTTGGAAATACTATCGCAACATTTGACTCAACTGACGACAGCCACTGAACACCATGAATTCAGAGTGGTATTTTTAAAAACGTATAGATAGCTAGTCGGTATAGCGAGTGGCTACGGGCTGGGCGACTGAGGGGTCGGAGTTCGAGTCCCAGTGGGGTTAAGAATTTTCTCTTCTCCACAGCGTCCAGACCATCTCTGGGGCGCACCCAACCTCCTATCTAATGAGTACCGGAGGTTCTTTCCCCAGAGGTAAAACGGCAGGGGCATGAAGCGGACCACTCACTTCAAACTAGTGCTGAGGTCAAGAAAATACGAATATATACATCCACTCCGCCATACACCTCCATAGCGTAGTGCTTACTTAGTTAAGCACAGGGATAATTTTAACTTACATTTACACATATATGACAAATTAAGTATTTATTTTTTTAAGATTACAGTTCTCTGAGTTGTGATACCGTATAGTCTGGTAGATACCAGCGTTTTGGAGGAATTCCTTGCCTTGATCTTTAGACTAGAAGGGTTGTATTTTGCACCCAACTGAGCATGATACAAGGGAATGTCCCCAGGACATCTGCAACTCTCCCCCGTTACTCTGAATGCGCCCGTTGGTCGCGTTCCAGGATCCACGTGTCACATTTTCTGTCGGGTGACAGGCCTGACGTGTCCGGTAAACTCTGGCATTTCTCTGTGTAAAGAATTTCACGATCTGTGTACACACACCAACTTTCTGCTGGTCTAAAGAGGTTCAGAGACTGGCGATCATCATCATCATCGTCATCATCATGCCTTCCTTGACGCTTAATTCAATTCCACCGCATTTGAAGCGAGTTATTTTGCTAAACGGCTTTCTGCAACAACCTTTCACCAGAAGCAGGAAACAGCCATATTAAAATCGAATAATTGCTGAAACTATCAGGGAAGGCTCTGTTTTTGTGAAGAATACATCACCGTACCACGAGCAGAGACTATTTGCTTTGCTTCTGAACAAACTATTTCATGAAAGTTCAGGCATTTCCGTCATCTACAGCACTTCTCGGCCACTTTCTGTGGCACGAGAGGGCGGGCTCCGTAGTGCAGGGATTCAGAAGGAAGTTGATTTTATTTCCTTTTATTATAATTAAAGGCTGGGACGTAGCTCAAGCGGCTACGAGCTGGTGTCTCACTCCAGAGTTCCGGGTTCAGTTCTGAGTGAGTTCATGTGAGACTCGATCTGTTGAAGTGACAAACTGGAAGTTTTGTGTTTCGAGTTTCTTGGATCCTCCCCTCCACCATTAACCCATAATCATCTGTCATCTTCTACTGACGCGTGCGGTGGCCGTTATCAGGCAGCACATTATCATATCCTCGGTCTTTAAAACGAGGCCTCATCTTTACCCGACGCTTGGCTGAAAGCAGTGAAGAGAGTAAGTTATTTTTTCTTAAAGTCTCTTCTATACACACTGCAGTACTTCTATATACACAGTAAGTACTGTGATCTTGAAAACCCTATCTCGAGATATGGACGCATTCACGCAGTTTCAGTCCCTCTGATTAGGATGAAGTAATTTTTTGGGATCCCGTTTTTCATTCTATATGACTATCTCGGACACCCAGGATATCTCCGAACACGAGGAAGGCGTGTTATCCAATTGCACCACTTCATACAGCGATACCGATATCCCACTCCACAGAGGGACGGAGATGCACCTCTCAACACAGCCATACCTATGCACCACTTCAGAGAGAAACATAGACGCTCCACTTCAAAGGGGGACCCAGACGCGCCACTTCACTGAGGAACACAGGAGCTCCACTTCACAGGGGGCCCAGACGCGCCACTTCGCAGGGTCACGTTTACTGCTGTTTGTATTTCAATATATCGAGGAATATTTCAGACAAACGTTTTAAATCTTGTTGGAGTCTGCTTTTATGGCATGAACTAGCTCCTTTTAAGACGATTGGTCTTATGAAGATCAGTTGTATTGCCGGATACAATGGGTCGTAAACGTGTAAATCAAATTCTTTTGACAAGTTTAATGAACATTCCAACACGTAATTTCATCGAAATCCTACTCGTAATTTCAAAGATTAAATCTACCCACAGACAAACATAGGAACAGATATTACCTTCCCATTATGCTTTCATTTTATTAATGTAGAAAAAGAAATTATGTACCACATACGGGAGAGATGAGAAATGCATTGAAAATTGTTGTTGGAAAATCTGAAGAGAAAAGACCGTTTGTGAAACTTGAGCATAAATGGACCCAGACGTAGATGGAAGGATAATAATAAAATGGACATGTACATTGCGATGTTGTGGACTAGGTTCAACTGGCTCAAGATAGGGTTCAGTGGTGGGATGTTTTGAAGACGGCAAATAACCTTCAGGGTTCATAAAATTCAGGGAATTTCTTGACCAGCTGGGCGACTGTCAGCTTCTCAAGAAAGGTTTTTGTGCACCAAGTTAGTTGCTATATTTCCAATCAAAGTTTCACGCTTCTTTTGGACTTGAAAGTCCCCGACTTCGTATGTATTTCCGGTCTTCTCTGCTCAGTGCTATCTTGACTTTGTCTTAGATCCGGAAGATGGAATCACTTCGCTGCTTCGAAACATCGGTGAACATATACTCCATTCTGCACAGCGTGATATCCCAACTTTTAAGCTTTAAACTCATCTACCTCACAGAAAACACTCTCCTTCTCCATAACAAAGACCAACCTCTGTTCTTTGGTTGTCACACAATGTGGATGTGGGAGATTTTGCCGACGTTTCGGAGGCACATGCATGTACTTGAACCAGACTTCGTCAGTAAAGTGACCGGCTGTGTATCTGCCGTTCGGAGTTTGATTACCAGCAAGTGTAGGAAATCTCTCCTGCTCCTTCCTAGTCCTTACCCAATTGGTACCGGGAGTAGTTGCCCCGGGGTGGGGCAGTATGAAGCTGATTGCTTATCTCAGTCGAATCCCACAGTCTAAAGGCATGAAGCTAAGTCTCCACTACACGCTACACCATAACGCGAGTGTGGTGCTTAGACACAGGGTAACTTAAACTTCATGTGCAGAGGTTTTCTTGAGAAGATGATAGTTTCTTAGCTAATTAACTAATATTGCGACCTCTCTGGAACCCAAGGGTTCATTACCGTGTTCACAAGATCCCGCCATTGTTTTATATCCTGAGTCAGATCAATTCAATCCACATCCTGTAGCTCTGTTTGTTTAAGGTGCGTCTTAATACTAGCTTAGCATCTACACCTGAATATTCAAGTGGTTTATTTCCTTCAAGGTTTTCCGACCAAAATTCTGTATGCACTTCTCAGCTCTCCCATGCGTGCTACATGTACCACTAATCTATTTCCTTTTGATTTGAACATACTACTAATATCTGACAAGGAGTAAAAATTATGAAGCTCTTCATCACGTAGTTTTCTTCACCCTCTTGTCATACCCCCTCCCTGTTCCCCTCAGCACCCTGAGGGTATGTATGGGACCGAGTTCCGCACTCATGCAGAACAAAGGCAGAGGTGTAGTTCTGCGTTCATGTTGATGAGTATCAGCATAACTTGTCTCACGGAATACGATGGCTTGCAGTTCTAATAACAAAAGTTTTTGAAGGAACCTGCTGCTTGCATCTTGATGGCAGTCTGTACGGCGTCACACTCCGGAAGATCGCTTTTAATCTCCGCGGTTGTACACAGCAGACGGCAGTCCTTAGCGCGCAAGTCAGGCTCGGGTACCGACTTGCTGCTCTCAGGTGTCAGTGAGCTGCCCGCAATGGGGGCGGTCAGTATCCCCGGGTAGGGGGCATCACACGCGGTCTCCCCCCACCCCCTTCCGGGCACGGTTTATAAGCCGTCATGATCGGTGTGGGCATCAGCAGTCGATCTCAGGGAAGAGACCGTCGAAGCAGAAGCAGGGACAGCCAGACGCGTATTCAACGATGAAAGTATTAGTGGTAAGTTAGTGCTGGTTCCCCCGACTCGCTAGGCTGCAGTTGTTACAGATCAGGAAAAGGAAGCATATCTTCACAGTTCTAGGATTATCATTATGCATATCATAAACTGCAAGGTATGAGATTTTCCCTATGCTTAATTGACTCAGCACCATGTCACGAAGACGTACTGGGAACTGGAGGTAGAGTTCCACGATTCTTGACATCGGCACTAGATGGAGGTGAGTGGTCAGCTTCACGACTTTGTCGCTTTGCTTCCAGGGGAGCAGCTCCCTGTAGCCGTTGGCTAGGAAGCTAATTGGGCTCCACGGCCGGTCTGGAAGATTTTGAGAATATTTACGGAAAACTGTATTGAGCATAAAATGCGTGTTCCATTCGTCAGTAAAATTTTATTCGAAACATTTTCTGCTGCAATAAACATTTAGCGATATACGCTCGATATGCAACAGAAAGGCATGTAGATCTTCACGTAAACTGTCCGTTACAGTTGCAAAGAAAGGTGAAGCTATCGCTGTAACAGACCGTGGAGGCCCATACCGTTGTGACACGTCGAGGCTCCCACATTTTTTAGACAGTCGGCTCACAAATGGCGTGAGGCCAGCATAACGCGCCGGCCGCCCTTTGCCCCAGAGGAAGATTCCTGGTACTCTTTTCTGTTAGAGGCTGAGTCGTCCCTAGGCCATAGTGCGGCTGGAAGAATTAGGTCAATTGGGGGGGGGATACAATAACCTCATCGAGAACAGAACGCGCGACCTACCGGCTTGTAACATAGTGCCTCAACCAAATTGAATTATTTTGAAAAGGATTTAATAAAACTCCCCAGTATGGAAGTTTATGATAAAACATTCGGCGTTTCCTGAGTCGTTGAATGCGGACAGACAGACAAAGGTGGCGAAGCGAACAGATGCGTTTTTGTACCTGTGGGCTGAGATCGCGCTGAACAAAAACATGCTGACTGCCAATAAACGCAGAGGACCGGATAATCTGTATGCCTGTTACCGCAATGTGCATGAAGGAAGCTGTGACGAGACATTCAACTCCGAAATCCTCGGACTTGTTACTGGTAGGGTGGGCGGGGCTACCGGGGGCACACAAAGACAGAGGCCAGGAAAATTTAACTTCGGTTCATCATATCCCGCGTATGAAGCACATGAGTCCAAGATAACATTTCATTTAATTTATAGAAAACGACCCTTCGTGCGAAATGGGAGACTACCGTAAGGAATACGTGTATATATCCCGCTGAAACAAACTACTTCAAAATAAAGATCTGAGTTTTCCACGGCGGTGACTATGAAGAATTCCGTCTTCTGGGATATGGCGCAGTGTAGGACTTGTGTGAACAGACGTTTCGGAGGAAAGTACCCTTAATATGGAAGCGATACGGTTCTCCGAAACGTTAGTTCACACAAGATCTACGCTGCGCCACTTACCAGAAGACGGCATTCTTCTGCTTCAAAAAACTCTAAATAAAAGTTCTGTATAACATCTACATTTCACTAAGACAGCAAATTTGACAGACTATAAATGCACATTAAGCGTCGCTGCTATCTAGAGGATCAGGTTCCCGGAAGGAGGGCACTGAAATACCGACTCGGAGACACATTCCACTCCTGTCATTTTCTGCCCATGTTCGCAACTACTTGATGACATAATAACGAACACACATGACGACAGAAGACAAGAATGAGTAAGTCTGTGCAGTATAACAATAATATAAATTACAAGCCAGATGTCTTTAGCACATTCTTGAGTAGCTAAGAGACTTGCGACTTCTCAAGAACTCAACTCCGTGGAATACATTAGTTACTTAGATTTTCTTTATGTTCCATGGAATTGGCAGAAGTGGGAGCGCCATGGAAGCATTCAGAAGTAACAATGTGTATGCGTGACACTGGGCCACTAGCAAATGTGTTTGATTTAACCACACGAAATTCGCAAACATTTCTGTAAACTTGTAAAAGTTTTCCAAACTTTTAAACTTTCTGTACGCAGGCGCATGACTGAGGAAGCAATTTTGTTACAGCCCTACAGGTGACATCTGTAAATTGAAAAGTCCAATGACCTCATCGAGAATCGAACCCAAAATCATCCAGCTTTAGCATAGTGCCTCAAACAACTACGCTACCGCGTGCCCCATGCTAACCTAACATAACCAGACCCACGTACCAATCTAAGGGACGTGTGTATATGTACGTAGCAAGGAACACATTACGTGCATGCGGTCTGCATATTATTAGGCGCATTTAAGACTTATTCTCTCAAGTGTACTCAATAAAATACGTGATAATTGTAGCTCCGTTGTACAGAGAATGCGTTTTATGTTTCGACCATCATTTCAACTAGTGTTACTTTTACAGGAAACATGTACATCGTATAACATGGGAAACAAAGCTTACGGAATCCAGATATTACAAACAATATGGGCATAGCTTAACCGCTCTAACGCATAAGCTCAATTATTGTTTAATTACTCATACAACAGTAAAACTTGCCGAAAAATATATTTCACGTGAAATGTGCGTTCCATTTCTCTCTCCGACTTTTCTTCGAAAAAGTTTGTGCAGTATTTTCCGAGATACATGTGCAGAAGTGCATTTGGGTCCTCATACGAAGTGTCTGTTATTGTTGTCCGGTTTTAAGCAAAACTTGGAGAATGTACATTAATTTTAGTGAAACTCTCCAATATCAAATATTAAAAGTGTTTTTCGGAATTCTCTAGTTGTTGTTACGTGTGGATAGACAGACGTTGCGGAAATGTTGGTGCATTTCTGCAGCTTGGCTTTACGGACAAGCCAAATACTGGGGCCGAGTGTCATCTCACTTCTGTTCCCCTCTTCTGCAAGAAGGTCTTGCTCCTCCTTGGGGCGCGCAGCACCTGCGGTACATTTGCCTTAGCCCCTTGAATCACAGTGGCTGCTACCTGTGTCACCTGACTTAACATGTCGGTGATCACATCTGTCAACTCCTCACTGCACGAGTAGTGCGAATGATAATTCTACTAAATTTTCCTCATTAACCCTTTCAAGCTCAGTGCGTACTACAAGTACCACCCACCCCAACTTTCAAGAAATTCTTATATTTTTGCCCAGAGAGGGTATTTATGTAAAGAGTTATACTTCGGACATATAATGCCGTGTAGTCCGTTGAAATTCAACCTCTGTTTCGGAGGAACATGTCGCCTCCAACCTCAGGGTCAAAGAACAGGTTGGCTTCTTAGCTTATTCTTCGAGTCACGAAAAATGAGGCGATAGGTACCTCCGAAACGGCGGTTGAATTTCAACGGACTACACTGCGTATATCCCAGAAGACAAAACTCTTCATAACCACCGCTGTGAGAACCTCAAATCCTACATGCATTTGTTTCGTACGATTCTCATAATAAACAATAATCCCCCCTCCCAAAACAGCATTAAGCGGTTGGTCTTTGTAATGGAGACGCAGTGTGTTTTCTGTGAGGTAGGAGCTGCATTTTGAGTACTGTTTACATGAACCTCCGGCTTCACAGCTTAGAGAATTCCCACGAAATAATTATACGATTCAGTGCGTCTGTCTGTCCGCTTTCAAGGCGGTGTGAATGAACTCCGAACCCCAGTTACAGCATTCTGCTCCCTTACAGCTCGTCGCCTCTCTAGGGGTGCTCGCGCAGGCTCGCCCAGAGGCCGGGTACTCGTACTCCGCGCCGTCCAGCAGTTTTGGAACTTCTGGGGGCGGGTTAAGTGGCGGCGGTTTTAGCGGTGGCGGCATAGGAATCAGTAGCGGGGCTCTCGGCGGTGGCGGCATAGGAATCAGCAGCGGGGCTCTCGGCGGCGGCGGCGGTGGCGGCGGCATAGGATTCAGCAGCGGGGGTCTCGGTGGCGGCGGCGGTGGCGGCGGCATAGGATTCAGCAGCGGGGGTCTCGGTGGCGGATTTGGCGGTGGCTCCGGGGCGTCATTTAGCGGCGTCTCAGGAGGAGCAATCGGAGGTGGTTCCCTCATCCAGAAGCACATATATGTGCACGTGCCGCCCCCAGAGCCGGAGGAGCACATAGCCCAGAGCCTGCCTCAATTCCGCCCAGCTCAGAAGCACTACAAGATTGTGTTCATCAAGGCGCCCACGCCGCCCACACCGACAGCCGCAAACATCCAGCTGCCCGGCCAGGACGAGCAGAAGACGCTCATCTACGTGCTCGTCAAGAAGCCTGACGAGGCAGAAGCACTCAACATCCAGCAGCCAGCCCCTACGCAGCCGTCCAAACCAGAGGTCTACTTCATCAAGTACAAGACGCAGAAGCAGGTCAGTACATATGCATCACAGGGCACCATCTCGCTGCAAATAAACCGCGTGGTTTCGCGGCCCCTGAGACGAAAGAACTGTCCCTACGAATTCTTAGAACTCCACAGAGGGAGCCCTAAGCCGACAGTAGGTCAGGCAATCAGTATTATTTCCCGTTCACAATAGCCCACCACACGCATTCCTAATCCGAGACAAATGGACCCAATTCTCACCCTCGCACGCTGTTTATTTTCAATATTTTCCTCCCATGCACGCCACAGTGTTCCAGTCTCTTCTCTTCCAACATAAACTCTTCATATTTCTATTTCTCCCCTGTGCTACAGCGCTTTGCACCGCAGCCCAGTTGATTTAATCATCCCTATAACATGTAGAGGCCGATCAGAGTGGCCGCGCGGTCTAAGTCGTGTCTTCGCTCGCTCGAATGCCGGGATCGTGGGTTCGAATCCCACTCAAGGCACAGATGTCTGTGTGTGCGTTTATTCTATGTTGTCCTGTGTGTAGGCAGCGTCCTTGCGACGGGCTTATTACTCGTCCAAAGAGTTCTACCGGTTGTGTAAACAAGATTACGAAACTGAAGAAGAGGTCAGGGCCCATCAAAGGGCTGTAGAGCCATTGATTAATAACATGCAGAGTACAGCTACCTTCTGGGATGTAATGTCGTGAAGTTCCATAGAAGTCCATCAATACTTTGTGGGGAACCCAAATTGTGCAGTTTTCTCCAGCCTTCTCCTAAACATTGTCTAAAATATCTGTGAGGTTACGTCATCATCATATAGTGACAGATCATTGCGTCATCATTAGAAACTACTAGATTCTGTTTTCAACATGCGACGGTAACCTCTGTCACCATGCCGGAGATCTTCTTGAAAACAAAGGACTTCATAACCTTGCCTGCTCAAGATTTGATGTACCCCCTCTCTCCTATGTCCAAATGTTCTCCACTGCTCATTTCCAGAGGATGTGACTCTAAGTCCTCCCTTCCTCTAATGCAAGCGACCAAGTAATTTACTGAAATTTTAATTTAAAACTATATCTTACTCTAGGTCAATGCATGGTAACCGAAACTGTCGAATATTAAGTGAGCTCAAGATATGGTACAGTTCTGAGAATTTGACGTTCTTTCGGCAGTTTCGTGTTAGCTCTACTCTGATTTATATATGCATCTTGCAGTTTCACCTTTCATTGTTCCTGGAACTGTTTGCAGTTCCTTCAGTTTCAATGTGATTGCTCTCCGCAGTGTTTACTGCGGATGAGTACATTTAATTTCATCTAAAAGGTTCAAACGCCGGAAAGCTACAGCAGCGTTCTGCCGCTTTAGTTCTTCCACATCGCCTTGACTTTTCTTGTGGCAATTTCTTAAAGACGGCTTGTACACAAACTACCCAGAAAACATAGCTGAAACCTAATACTGAAAATGCAATTTTCTGCATCACGGCTGAAATTCGTAAATGTGCCCTTGGATACGATAAAAAGCAACGTGTTTTGTGAATGCCCATTTGCGGTTTATATTCCGTGAGATATGTAATACAATGTATCTGTTCAAATAAGCCACACACTACACAGCGAACAGGAACGTTACACGCAAGAAAATAGTTCGGTGAATTTCGCTTTGTTTCCATAGGTTTCCTCCGGAGGCGCTATTGGCGGTGGTGTTGGTGTTGGAGGTGGTGTTGGGGGTGGAATCGGCGTTAGCAGCGGTGCAGGAGTTGGCGGTGGCGTTGCAGACGGAGTTGGCGGCGGATACAGCGGCGGCGGAATTGGTATCAGCAGCAGTTCAATCGGAGCCGGAAGCAGTGGTGCCAGTGTCTCTTCCAGCTACGGTCCCCCTGGTGCCAGCGGTCCGTACTAAATCGGTTTCCACCTGCCAGATGCTGAAGTCAGTGACACACATCGCCTTTACTACCGAGTGATACCGTTTATAAGCCATCTGACAACTGGCAGAAGTCTTAAATAACTCGTCGAAATCAGTGTCAGTATTTATTGATTCTCATATAACATCACTTAGCGCGGAATCAGAGTGTGTGACGTATAAATGTCGACTGAACAATGCGCAGCATGATACAAATGCTTACCCGACGCGCCATTAACCTTTTGAAGACTAGATTTCTTGTAAACAGTATATATATATATATATATATTTAGTTCATACCTCACAGGAAACGCATTATGTCTCCGCTACGAAGACCAACCGGTTAATGATGTTTAGGGAAACAGTCGCTGTTTGTTGTGAGAACCATACGAAACACAAATAGAATGTTAAGGCAGGCGGTATATATTGTGACCACTGGGCTTTAAAGGGTTAACTGAGACTGCAGATTCGTGCGTTGTAACAAAGGCATTGCACTTAACTTTAATATCGTGCCATTTCTTTTAATCCTGGCTCTTAATACTTTGATGGCGAAGAGCCAAAAGACATTTCTAACTTTTTTCTTTAAATAAAGTGGAACTTACGCGTGAATACTTAAAGAAATCCTCGTATTGTTAAGAGACCTTCACGAAACAGGGTATGCGAGTAAAATGTATGTGTCGATGCTCATCTGTTTACTTGTTATTGTTTGATTCGATTAGTTTTAAGAGACACCCTACGTTCACTGCTCAATGCTTGGGTTGCGTCATTTATATGTATTTTTGTATTGTGTTTGTATATATATATACATGTATATTTTTTGCAAGAAAACGGTGGCAATAAATGTATTAATAAGATTTTCTTCGAGTGATGTCAACTTGTTTTCCTTACTATGTCCTGTTCCACCCTATACATGAACATGAAGCTGATGATTTGGGTTTTGAGTCCTTCACCTCTGTAGTCAGTGCTGAACTAATCAAATCAGAGAAAGCACAAAACTTTGTTCGCAAGTCACACATTTCGACGACTTGGGGGGAGCCCAAAATTGCAGCTGTTAAATGCTGCCGGAGGTAAGTTGAAACAGTCTGTTCCTTGAATAACCAATGTATCAATAATCCTTTATGCATTTATTTTGAAATACGTGTATTTCCGTTAGTTTTATATTTTTACAAGTTTTAAGCAGTCAGAATTATCAGATCTAGGGCCGATAGTACAAATCAAAGAACTGTAGGAAGAAGCTATGTTCCGAAATGCATCCCTCCCAATTTTGCATTATCTCATCGCAGAGACAATTTCAGTGTTGCACAACTGATTTAAGCGCATACAGTCTTAAACTAGGCTTATGTCTATACGTCTACATCACAGGGAAGAGTGATATCTTCTGGGATGTGATGCCGTGTAGTCTGGCCTGTAACTTCAAATGTGAAGAGTAATCCACGCAACAAGCAGAGCTCTGCTTTATACCAGGCTACACGGCGTCACATACCAGAATATAGTATTCTTCCGTATCACCGTCGTAAGAACCCCAAGTCCACACTCACCGTCCATTTATATAAGCCCTACATCCTGTAATGTTACCATGATATTTGCAAAGAGCCGTTCTAGCCTAATTTCCTTATTCTGAAAAAAAATTAAAGTTGGGCTTATGAGATCACCTTGCTGTCTATGTGTATGCGTGTCTATATCATGGCGCCTTAGCCCATCTCAACGGCGCAATTTATTCATACCGTCATTAACGCCAACATTACAAAATTTGAATTTTCTTAGACAAAGTATTAATACTGTAACGTACAGACCCATTGCTAGGCAACGACTCGGTAAACACATTTCAACGGGAGTCAATAAAACGGTCTTTTCCGCGAGGTCCGCCCCGAAGCTATATGAAGAGAAGTTCCAATGGAGCAATTAGTTGACAAAGCTGAGGGTTCAGTTGTGAAGTGTTAATCAACGGGCAACGGAAGATGAAGAATCTCCATTGTTAGATTCGTTACCAGGAAACGTCTAGCGAAAACAATGCAGAGGACTAGGGTTACCAAACAAAGACTAGTGGAAGTACAGTGAGAAGGCTTAGTGTGGAGTGATTTGTAGTGTGAAAATCAGTAATAGTGTAATAATTATTTTGTAGTTACGACCTGTAATTGAACAATAAATATATTCACCAATCCAAATCCCTTCTATAGTCACTAATACACATGACAATATTGTTCAAACGCCTGTACCGATATTAATAAGATTTGGTATGTGTATGCCACCTGAGGCAATTTCAGTGGCGTACATTATAAACTCCTCTAATCAGTAATACCAACATTCCAGTCTCTAAAATTGTTGAGGTAATACTCTTAACTTTATTGTAACTCCTAACCCCTCGCCATGAAACTTGGTATGTATATCATGCCATCTGGGGTTATCTCAACGGCGTACTTGCGAAGTGCTTATTTTCAGCAGTACCAATATTACAGCCTCTAAAATTTTTTAGGTAACACCCTTGATATTATTTGAATTTCTAAACCGATCGTCATGAAAACTGGTATGTATATGTCATGCTATCTGAGGTCAACGAAAAGTTGTAAGAATGTTACATGTGGGGTGATGCTAAGAGGCTGTCAGGAGCTAGACTACACAGCGCTGTCAGTGTAGGACCTTGAGAACTGCCAAGGATTTTAATGAAATTTGGTGCTGGAAGTAGACTAAATTTGTCGACACATTTCAGTTTCGATTGAAGTGTGACAAGAATTACGGACACTTTGCATGCGTCTCCGTGTGCATCTCGAACATAACCCAGATGTGAAAATATTTCCAAAAAGGAGTACAATAAACACTCGCTAATCCGGCTTAATTTTGGAGGGGGCACAGAGATCACCCGGTTTACGCGATAATCTGGATTAATGAAGTAAAAGACACAAAATATTTGTAAAACAAGAAAATGAAAAATGTAATAATGCAGGTAGTGCTGGTGAAAATAAATATAAAATTATCACTGCAGCAATTTCTTCCTTTGTCAGAACCTGAAATCCAGGGTCTCCTTCACCCAGCTCAAGCCAATCTTGGATATTTTCTTGCGTGGTTTCAGTCTGTTTCCAGTTGCCCTTAACAGTCTGAAAATCCTCTTGCTTCTAACCCTTCTTATTCCTAGATCCCACGTGTGTTTTAAAATAATGTATTCAACTGTGAACAGGATTTTTCATTTTTCACATTTCGATCCAGATTAAACGTAACCTGATTAGCGAGGGTTTGCTGTATACAGAAAAAAGAATGACACATTTGATGGCCAGCATGTTTGTCCCAGGTGTTCGAGATTATTAAACAGAAATGAACTAACCCACCAGAAGTGTCAGTCTCTACTGTCCGAGTTGCTACCCAACTTGAGCACTGAAGCAACTCAGAACAAATACGAACAATGGCTCCTGCAGACTTCTGTCAGGGCACAGGACCACAGCAAGGCCTGTGACTATGTAGGCAACATACAGGCCTACATGCGGCCATAGTCGAGCGACTACCGCTTCCATCTTGAAGTAAATGTTCGAACTTGTTTCGTAGCAAGTCTGGTCACTCGGGTTTCAGCTGCTGTCCCTAATGTATCTTGCTACCGGGTTATCACAGTGGTGAAGCATTCTGCTTATGCTGGGAGAGGGTTTCCCTCCGTTTCCTCAGACTCCAGAAGAAGTGTCTTCAAATTAGACAGGGCCGCAATGCGTCTAAGTTTGCACAAACATCCTACAACATGAGATAACTTCAGCGGTTGATATAACGGTTACAGAATTGCTAACCATTCATCCGAGATATACCTTTCGAAACCTGTGCAAGAACTGTGAAGCTAGCAGCGACAGCCGTTGCTATGGAACGGCTCTGCAAACAAGCTCGTTGCTAGATAACAGGTTCTTAACAAGCAACACTAGAGTAACTGGGTAGCGGTGTTCTCTGCGCGGTCCATGCAATAGCTACGTGACGCAACAAGAGAATACCTGTTGGGAGATGTGTTTTCTATGTGGTCAGTGCAGAGAGTATATAACGAAGAGTAGCTGCGATTAAGAGAGAGTCTTGAGACGGTAGTTAGAAGAGTAGGAGATAGTTGTGAGATAGCTGTCGGCTAGTAAGGATGTGAAAACGGAAGCTGAGGATGATACGGTGTTGGAAGCCGTTATGAGGCGACAACCGATGAAGATACAGAGGACTGATACGACTTCGTACGTGCTGCAGTGAAGTGTAGAATGTGTGATTTAGCGATGGTGCTATAGTTATGAACTCTAAGTGTTCAATAAATCTAATTACCAATCCAAACCCTGTCTGTAGTCTCACTTAATCACGTAAAATTATTTTGACCCTTCCATGTTTTTCGTAGGCAACTTCTCTCGGAAGCTTTTTCCATCACGTGCGAGATGACATGCTGTCCAATAGGCGTCATGTCTCCTGTCACCGCTCAAAAGGCGCATCGATCTGTGCCACCTCTACAACAGAAATCACGCATTCCCATCCAGAGAGACCCCCAGTTTCTTCTTGCTGGGAATTCCCTGGTTCTAATATCAGCCAGGGTACAAGTTTTCTTTAGTGACGATTTTTATGGTTATCCTCAGTCCCTACAGTATCCTACCTCAAAGTCTACCACGGCCACTTCTTTCCTGAGCCAGGATTGCTCAGTACGTGAAGTGACTAGGCTATGGGATGAGTTGTCGGGGAATCGGAGTTCAATTCTTCGAACGAGAACAGAGTTTTGCCTACAGTTTCAGACCGGTTCTGGGGTCCACCCAACCTCCTACCTAATGAGTACAGGGTAAACTTTCCCTTGGGGTAAAGCAGCCGGGTCGTGGAGCTGACCACTCACTACCATCAAGTGCCGAGGTTAAGAATGATGGTGCTCTACCTCCACTTCCCCATCTGTCATGAAAAGACGATGTTTAATTAAGCACAGGGACAACTTTATCTGTTATCTGGCCACTTATCTCAACATGTCAACATCAGATCACCGGACACTCGATAATTCTGTAGGGACAATTCAGAGCGCCGTTAAACAAGCCAAGAAGCAATACAAGTCACGTTACTGAAACAGTAAAGGAAAGATGAAACATCGAAATTTGAAAGTAGCCTCTCTCAGCCCATGTACACACACAACAGGGAGGTGACGTCACCTCTCGTTGTCTCTGGGTCCAGCAGACTGCTCAGGGCTAACGCCGTCCGTCCACACGGTTCGAATGCGATGCCTCACGGCACGGCCTCAATAGGATCTTGCGCTCCATCGCGGGACGCCATTTCCTAACGCTACTCTTGATTCAAATGTCAGTAGGTTAACTGGGGCTATGTGTGAAGCGCGGCTTGTGGCCTTTCCCTTTTGCATCATTCACTCTCAAGTGTCTGGTCGATAGGTATTGACCCTACCATCTGCTCACGCACTTAGAAACTCTGCCTTTTGCCCACAGACTGTTTCCACACATTTCGTATGATTTTCAGAATAAACAGCACTTACTTCCGTATACAGCAGTGTCCGGTTGGTCCTCGCAACGAAGACCTCTACCTCTCTTTGGGGTAAAGTAAGTAAGTAAGTAAATGTATCCCTGTAATAGGCCGTGGAAGCCCATAGGGTTGTGAGATGTCGAGGTTCCCACATTTTCTAGACAATCGGCTCATAGATGGCTGTGAGGTTGTCAGCCTTACGCGCCGGCCTCCCTTTACCCCCAGGAATATTCCTGGTACTCATTTCTGTTAGAGGCTGAGTCGACCACAGGGCCATAGTGCGGCTGGAAGGATTAGGTAAATTGAAAAAAATCCACCTTATCAGGATTCGATCCCGCGAACTTCCGACTAGTAGCACAGTGCTTTAACGAACTACGCTACCGCGTGCCCCCTTCTCTTTGGGCTAGGAACAGTATTTTAAAACTTTAAGTAGAGAAACAGCTCGGCAGGTGTTTTCTTCTCCACAGACTTCAGAACGACTTTGAAGCACACCTAGCCTCCTGTTCAATGGGACCTCTTTCCCCGGGGTGTCAAGTGGCAGGGGCATGAAAGTGACCACTCATCTTCATCTAGTGCCGAAGTCAAGAATTGTGGAGCTATACCTATACACCCCCCATTTTTTCTTCTAATTAAGCATAAGAGCAAATTTATCTTTAAAAATCTTACTGGAATGGCCAACAAATTATGCGATTAACCACTAATTTGATCAAGTGGGATTTGTGGTGGACAAATTGACGCTGGGGCAGGTTTTCTCCGAGTACTTCGGTTTCCCCTGCCAATCTTCATTCCACCAATTGCTCCACAATCACCCTCACCTATCATCTGGGCTGGTACAATAGGCCAGAAGTGGCCGCAGTACAAGTGACTTAGTCCCACCTCACTAGCAATAAAAAAAACACTAAATTCAGATAATCAAAATTCCACGGCCCCTGGTTCAAGCCACCACTTCTTACGAATCTAATGTCTTAACTACATACTATACTCCATCTGCTATGGGAAGGAGCCAGTATTATCTTGATGACGTAGACCTTTACGTCATCATTAGAGAATTACTACATTCTATTTGCAACATACACATGACTTCCCTGAAGTTGCCTATACTCTCGCAGTGTGTGATGCAATATTGTGCCCAGAACAGATACACTTAACAGAAGGATGAAGGCGCA